AAAGGCTCTATGCTTTGCTGATTATGAAATGTTAGGAATGGAGCTATGAAACGGAGCATTTACTACATATGTTTGATTAATTGATAAGGCTAGAAAGAGAAAAACATCCTAGTTGATATCCTCGACCACTACATTGTATGTTTAGATACAATGAGTAGCTGAAATTAAGTAAATCTCTTAAGATAGCAATATTATGGAGACCATTTCGGATGAAGGTGCATGATGTATAGATTCGTGGGTCAATCTTACCGGAAGACGACTGCTGATTCAGGTTGCTCTGCAGCCGTTTGGCGTTAATACGAGCATCAGTTTGACGAAGTCCACGAGAAATATTCCCATATTTTGGAGGAAAACAGGCCTTCAAAGCTGACACTCATTCTTGCAAAAGTCTTAGGTTAAGTCAGCTAAAGTGTCCGGCTCAACTTCTAATATGATCAAAGGAGAAGCATGACCATGATTGTCTATGTTTGCAAGTAAGGCTAGCTGAGATAATGAAATATATGCTTGTGTGCTTTTAAGACATGTTACGAAACCGTCCGTCATAATCGGCCAGTCAAGGATCATCAAGGTTTGACAACTTAATCTACATGATAGATAAGTGTGAGTGAGGTTTTAATCATCATTGGTAGGACAGGTTGAATAATTCTTACCGAACTTTTTACCACTTTTCCTCACGCATTCCAATGAGAGTTATGGAACGGAGCATTAATTATGCATACATAATTCATTTGATAAGGCTACAAATGGATCTCGGCTGTCTTAAAAAGTAAAACGTTTCAACGAATATTTACTTTAGCTCTACTTTATGCTATATTTTCTACACTCGGGCTAAAAGGCTAGTTCATTCAGTCGCAGGAGTGACCGACATTGTGAAATCGCAATGATTAGTCGCCTTGGGCCAAAGTATTACATAATTAAGCCTTGATAATCTTAAGGTGGAAGTTTCTGTTCTCGGAACCATCGCTTTTTTCCCGTATGTCCTCATACGCATGCATACACACGCGCAGGCCCATATGTAGTTTGATATAACTCATGAAATAACCAAGGCTCCCCATCAACGTGCGTCTTTTGTTGAGTTGTTTTAGGCGTATGCATAACTATTTGCAAGCTCGGGATTGCCATATCAACGCGTTCCTGTCCTGATGATGTCTGTCAACTGGTATGACGAATCAAGACTCTGCTCTGTCACGGAGACGGAAGGAAACTGCTTCGAGGGTAGCGTCGAGCCGAGTGTCTCTTCAGGACACTTTCACTCGAACTGAAAGTAGTCGACATTGATATAAGAGGAGACTGTTTGCAAATCAGTTTGTTTTTATATTTTTAGTTCCAATTAGGTGACAAAAGTAAAAACATTTATCTTATGATGTATTCAGCCCACTTTATGAGTCTTCATGTTGTCCGGATTGGGCCTTTGTAGGTGTTATCTATTGGCAAACCTCTGCTTTTTATTGCTGGTCTCTAATCGTTACACGCTGCACAGGTTTCTCACGTAAATGTCACTCTCTACGTCAAGCATCGAGGCTGCCACTCTGCAAAGCATCACCACTTGTCTGCATAGTCTTGGAGTGCATCCGAATCCCGAATGGCTAACAGCATGCCTCGTCTGGCTGCGTCAGGAGCACGGTTCCGGCCCCGACTGGCCGCAGGCTCTAGATCCTGAGGCTTTGAGCTGTCTGGTCCTGCAGCAATGGCTCCACGCGGATCTTCACGAGATTGGCTGGCCTTTGCTGCCTACAGAAGGAGGCGACGATTCGACCGCTTCTGGCCCTCGGCAACCGGGGCCACAGACTCCACCACGTTCTTTTCTTTTAGAGGACGATCTTTGTCTCCAGGTTAGCCAATGATCGCTTTTTGTCTACCAAACAATGCATTCAATCTTAATAAGCCTGATGTAAATGATGACGGCTTTCAAAATCACTTTTCTTGGCTAAGATTTTACCTTTTTATCTTTCGGGATACCATATATGCATTAAATCATATATCTTCCTTTGAAGATAGGTAACCCTGGTTATGTGTGATTATTGTACTTTACGCAGAAGTTAATTACTCTACTCACATTTTACACTAGTCTACCTCTATGATGTTCGATATTCAAATCTACTGTTACCAATTGGCTTCCTACATTAAACGTTCCACATCAAAAGCCTGAATGTGATCATCACCAGGACAGATTTATGCTTCTGCTCTGCAATCGTGAAATAGTTATTTTAAATAGTTGAATTGTGTTCACCCTATTTCGTTTAAGGTGATGAAGCACTGGTAGTTGATTTTTCCCACAACGATATGAATAGATATGAAGACCAAGATGTTGTGGCCTCTGTTAGGGTCGCAGTCTCCTTTTGATGTATAAGTTGACCTCGTTGTCGCAACTTGGTCTTGTGCTCAGGGAGACTATGTAGAACGCACCGAGTCCGAAGTCGCCTGCCATAGTAGTTGTCATGACTCCCAGCATCTGACAGTGGACTTTATACAAATTTTCAAACCTTTCGCTGGCATCGTAGTCGGCATCATCAGTGAGCCTTGCCATTCGCCGCACCAAGCTACGAACTA